CTCTCTCTCTCTCTCTCTCTCTCTCTCTCTCTCTCTCTCTCTCTCTCTCTCTCTCTCTATCTCTCGTGATTATTGTTCCAAGCCTCCTTCGCTCTTAGGCAATCGGTTTCATTTTCCCACACGAACCGCGCTCTCCCCCCGTCCCACACGTCGGGCACCCACACAAAGCGCGTCGCAAATGACGAAAACAATCGTTCCTGGGGGCGCGATTACCGACTGGCAGCAAAGAACATTCATGATACGCCGTCAAACGCGCACCAATACAATTTTTGAATCATCCTCGAAGAGACAAGCTGAGTTTGCGGGAAAACGCTGCCCAGCTCGGGACGCATCTACGAGAACCCCATGCCTGCTGCAGCCGCTGTTCTCCTTGCTGTATGCATGTGTGAGCAGCGTTTCGTCGGCTACACTTCTTCGCAGCGAGCAACAGGCTCACTAGACGTTGGAGCCGAAGTCATTCCTTGAAGCGAGCAATAAGCGCTGCTGACGTCGCTGGATGCGGCCAATGGAATTATTGTGCCTGCCCAAAGGGAGGATATTGTAGACCGACAGCAGCATTACGCGCACCACCGCTAGTAAAGGCCAGCATCGACTTGTTGTGCAGCGTGTACCGTGTGTCGGGAAACCCTCAATCGATCAATCGCAAACGATTGAATCCTCCCGCAGAGAGGTGACGTGCCTTTGTCTTTGTCATGAGCGCTGAATTATGAATAATAAATACTAACACAGAATGACTATTTTCCCGTTCGAGATGTAACCACAGTCGACCGGGATGTGTTGAGTCTGTGGAGGGAACCGGCTGTGTACTGGGCTATTGCGAGTGTTGAGTATACACTTTGCGCCTGCCATCCCTCTGCGTCCCTTCTCGACAACGGGTACACCCAAGCTCATAACTAAGGCCCTCTCTGCGCCCCTGCCTTTGGCGTGTGTGAGCGGGCTCGAATCTTGGCCTGTTGATGAATGCGTCCCTAGGCGACGGTAACACCCGCCTTGTCACCGTCACCGTCTTACGCTATCCCTGAGGTTGACGGCAAATCAGCAGTCGACGACCGTCCGTCCCTGCTTTATATATGCACGCCTACAGCACGTCCTATCACTTCGTCTTCTTCCCTCATGACGACACCCATACCACGCCTACAAAGTGAGCGTGCTCGTTGATTGGTGTCTGTGCATGTGCTGTTAGTATTAGCATCGACCGCGCAAACCGGCTGACCCAGACGTCAATTCTCAGTGCGGTTGAAGGTAGAAAATGCTTCTCAAGACCATGATATGGGACTCCGTGAGGGGGCGTCATGGGGGAGGCTAAGCTACTCTCCGAATTACAGACAGAAACGGCGGTAGCAATAGAAGACAACGTCCACGCGTCTACCAAGGCTGATTTTATGCTTCTACTTTGCACTTGCGTTCGTTTGGGAGACCTTCGCATGTTGTCGCTGCTTGCATCATCCTCCTTGCCTGAAGCCACTCTCTCATCAACTTTCTCGTATTATTAAAACTTTTCTTGGGGAGCTCTCTCCTCCTGCAGCGTTTGTTGTGCGGCATGTCTTGGGGCTGAAAAGCTCTTGCCCTCCGTGGTGTCTGGGTATGTGTGTGTTTATGTTTTTTTGCTTTTGCACAGCCCAGAGCGCGAGAGCTGGTGGATGCGGCCCTCGGCGACCGTGACCCGGCTTCGATAACGAGGGTGCGATTGTCCAACAAGAGCTACTCAGCGGAGGCCGCCAAGATCATCGGCGAGGCTTTAGAGAAGATGACCAGTGTTACAGAGGTCCGTACGTTGATGGTGACGTTGTTGACTCAGGGTTGGAGTAATAGTAGCGTTGCTGTTGCTGCTGCTGCTGTTGTTGGACTTTTCTTTCTGCTGCGATCTTCCTCCGACACCTTTCGTGGTTTTGCTACGGATAAAGACCCCGGCCCCTGATCCCAGAGTCAGAAGAGAAACGCCTTCCGTGGATAGATACACAGGGAATATTTTGTTCTCACGCTAGGCGGTTTCAAGCTGCGCAGTTTTTCCCAAAAGTTGCTCTGTGGTATTCTAAGCTGCTGCTGCTGTGGGTGCGTTTTGTCTTCTGCGGTGGTCCCGTACCACCGCTGCTGCTGTAGCTGTAAAGAAAACCAAGACCTAAGGAAAAAACGTGATGGAACAGGAGAGTAAAGGCCGAAAGTACGTGCATGGCACTTGAAGTATATGTTTTTTGTACGAGATGCCCCCACGGCGCGATAACAACGACGATATCGATGGCGGCGGCGGCGCAACAATGACTGACCCTTTCTCCACAACCCACGACAAGCGTATCACCCTCTCTAAGTCATCCCATGCGGTACCTTGCCATTGCCTTGGTCGCGTGCTGTTTTCGCCTATGTCACAGGTCGATTTCAGCGACATCATCGCTGGGAGGCCCAAGGAGGTGGGGCTGGAGGTGCTAGCCGCCGTTTGCGGGGGTGTGAGGGAGCGGGAGGGACTGACGTTCGTGGACGTGAGCGAGAACGCCATGGGTCCGGACGGGGTGGATGCCTGCCGGCCCGCGATCGAGGGGAAGAAGGAGCTTAGGGCCCTGCTCATGTGCAACGACGGGCTGTCGGCGGCTGCGATGGAGGCTGTTCGGGTGAGGCAGAGAGAGAGGGAGGGGTAGAGACAAGGGGGAGGTGAACAGAGACAGGGAGGGAGGGAGGGAGAAGAAGGGGGTCGGACGTGTTTTGGTGCCATGATCGTTGTCGTTGTCGTTGTCGTCGTCGTCGTCGTCGTCGTTATTGTTGTTGGCGGGGCGATGGCGTGGGGGTCGTTATTTTATTCTCTTTGGTGCACTTTCTTCGAGTCGACCTATTAGACCCCGTCAGGGTATCGTGTTTTACTATTTAGCAATATGAGGAGTATCCTGAGAGTATGTTGTTTACCACCCGCCCCCCCCGGATAGCGATTCTTCCCTCCTCTTTCTCCTAGTCTCGTCGGACTGCTCCCAACACTCTCACTTTTTGGAGACCTTCGTTACTATAATTATAGTTCGTTCGTTCCGTGGGGCACTATCTAACGGCAGCTCCGTCCAGAAGCGTGTTTTGTCATTTTTCGCATCAGGATATATCAACTGGGAGGGCTATTCTTTCCTTGACTGAATTACAGATGCGGACCTTCGCACTGGCGATAATCTATTATCTATTTAGGTCTTCGTTGGTAAACTTTGCGAGCTTTCTGGACATTCAGTCTGCCCCTTATGTGCTCTTGATTGCTTAAAAAATATCGCATTTGTTAGGACATCTTGTTGGCGACCTCTCCTGCTGCCCTGCGGACGCTTCACTTCTACAACAACATGAGTGGCGACCTGGGGGCTAAGGCCCTAGCTCAGGTGAGAAGACCTGGGTACTACAGTACAAGTGCATCTCTTCTGCGTGTCTTCTCACGACCGCCGGTAGTAGTAGTAGTAGTAGTAGTAGTGGTAGTATGGTAGTACCGGTCGTTGTTGTTTATCTTGACTTGTTAAAAGTAATTCGGTTGTGCAGTTTGCCTCAAGTACAGCACCACCACTGCCTCACTGCTGTACATGTAGCTGACCGATCGTGAACATGCCTATGTAGTTGTTACGCTATGCTGCTGTTTCGTACCGGTGGTGCTGGACTTGAGGTTGTGGTGGCCAGCTCACCCCGCAACTGCGGTCGCACGAGCATGCAGAATGTAGACGATGTCGCCGCCAGCGAGTGCAGCAGCCAGCAAGTGGGGCAACGAATAAGTGGAGCGGCCAGCCAGTCCCTTCGTCTCTGGCTGTTACACTATTGAACAAGCAGCTTGGGGCTCCTTTTTATCTCTCCTTGTGTGTTGTGTGTTTTCTGAAACTAGACTGTTTGGTTTTGTATGGTGCAGGTGCTACCCAAGTGCCCGAACCTTTCCGACTTCCGCTTCTCGGGGACAAGATCGGGCCGGGAAGGATCTGCCGCCGTTGTCCAGGTGAAGAAATCTATAATGTCAAGTTTTTTTTTGGTATATTGTGCTGTTCTGTCTGAGTTTTTCGTTGTCTGAGTTGTCACAGCAGCAACTGTGCCGCGCACATTGAACAAATGAAGTCTTTTGGAGTTGCTGCATGATGTTGCTGTTTTTTTTAGTTGTCACAGCAGCCACTGCTGTACCTCACACAATAAATACATGAGGTCTTGGAAGTTCGCTCTTTTCGTTGTTTTAGCTAAAAATACACAGTATCTACATAACTTTGTCACGGCAGCAATTTCGACGCACGCCATGTATGTGTGCATGTGTCGCGGAGCCCGCCAGCCTTCACCCGTGTGGCGCACCACAGGCTTAACACTAGCCGGGCAACGTTTTTTTCACCACCACCGAGAAGAGACAGCAGCCGGCTCGGCTCCAAAAACTACCTCACCTCGTTAGAATTAAGCCGCGGTATTGCAAGTCCTGCCCTGGGTGATGTTGCCGTCCGTGTGACCCCTTGGACTTTTTTGGTATTTTCGGAAAGAAGGTGATGTACCACCTACCTTGTTGAATCGTGCCGCGGCCTGTGGGGGGAGAGGGGGGGGGTGGCGGGGGCGCGGCCTGGTGGTGGGGGTGATCGCGCCTTTGGCATCCACCTTAGGACCTTAGGCTCATGACTTAAGAAAAGTGGGTACCCGCCGCCTGCTATCGACCCGGCTTTCTTTCTCTATGCACCTCTCCTTTCACATCCCAGTGACGACCGACAGAAAGAAGTACATCCTTGATCTCACTGAGTCCCAACCCTACCCCCCCCCAAAAAAAAAAAAAAAAATCGCCATCCTTCCGCCACCCAGGAGAAGACGTTGGCTGTACTGGGGCATAGGAAGTGAAGGATAGATAGACTAGGGAAGACATTTTTGAGCCACCTTTGGCAAAGTAGGAAGGAACGATTGGCCATCGGAGATCGGTCCTGTCGAAACAATGCTCCGTCCTCTCGAGGACGCGTGGCCAATGGTCGAACCGCTAAGGCATGCAAGACATAAGAGTACGCCCCCATTCCTCTGCCACCCTTTTGTATCAAACTCGAAAACACCTCCCTCTACCCCCAACACAGGCATTGCTTGAGTGCCCCGCGGCTTCTGCCGGTCTCCTGGAGCGCTTGGACCTCGCCGACAACACCCTGGGGGAGGAAGGGGGCAGAGTTCTTGCCGAGGCTTTGGCGACGCAGCCGTCCTTGACGTACGTGAACCTGAGCGAGTGCGACCTCGGGGTGAGTGAGTTATTGAGCAGCACGTGTCTGTCTGTGTAACGCTCGATCGATCAACAGGCAAGAGTTTTGTTTGTGCTAGAGCCAGCCTTTTTGCGAACAAGGAACTTTCTCTTGGCCGGAGGGTTTAGAGCGTGGCGAGCGGTGCCGAAAGTTTCGGCCTGTGTTATTTTCCTTTTTTCTGGCATTGCTGCCACCATTCCACGACGACGAATTGCAAGCGCGTACGATTTGGTTGTTATATAATATATTGGTTGTTTGCGCATGTCAAAAAGTTCGCTGCCGCCGCTGCGGCCGACTTTTTTTTTCTTACTATATTGCAACTAAGTCCATCTCTTGTTTTTTTTCCTTTTTGGTTTTTCTGACTCTTTGCTGTCTGTCAACTGCTCCAGGACGAATGCAAGCGCTCTACGTCTTGGCTCTTATACTTGGAAGCATTACTTCGAAGCATTACCAAAGGTCCGCCGCGGCCGGTGCGTTTTTTTTTTTGTAGCACAACGAACCAATCTCGTCCTTCTTTTGTTATTTCTACTTTCGTTCTTTCTTTCTTTCTGGCGCTGTGCTGTCTGTCGAACCTCCTCCTGTAGGACGAAGGCGCTGCCGCCGTGGCGAAGGCGCTCAGCGGCACGGCGCCCGGCGTGCGCGAGCTGGAGTTTTCGTACAACGAGCTCACGGCGGAGGGCGCGGCGGCGGTGGCCGCCTGCGCGGAGAGAAAGTCCGCGTCTCTGGAGTACCTGGGCCTGGAGGGCAACGAGATTGGGTCGGCCGGGGCGAAATCGGTGCGTGCGTTCGTGTGTTTGGTGTTTGGTGGCTCTTGTCTTCGCACGGCGGTACATGTGTCATGTGCCTGTGTGTTGTCGTTGTTGTTTGGACTGGCCGCGCTAACCGACTGACCAATGAAAAGACGTCAGTCTCAGTGCGGTTGAAAACACAAAACACTTTTATCTGCCATGAACTGGGACCCCGTGAGGGGGCAGCATGGTGGAGGCTAATCTGTTCTCCGGATCAAAGACAGAAACGGTAGCAACAGAAGAAAGCTGCACACGTCTACGAAGGCTGCTACCTTGCACTCGAGTTCGTTTCGGAGTGCTTTCACCATCATCCTCCATGCTTTCAAGTCCATCGTTCTCACTATCATCTTGACAGCACTTTTTCGACATTTCTTCTCTGGCCCTGCTTTGTGTGCGTGTTGTCTTTGTTGATAGCGTCGACCGTGCTAAATAGCCGGTTAACCATTGAAAAGACAGTTAGAGTCTTGTTTTGTCTGTCCGCCCATGTCCCCAAACCACAAACGACGCGCCCCCTCCCCCCCCCAAGTATGGTCCGTGGGTGTGAGTGATGGCGCATCTGTGGTACAGATGGCGCTCTCACGTAAGAACTTAGCACTTAAGAAATGCAGCCTCAAAAAAATCAAAATTTAAGAACTTGGCCGCAAGAACGCGTGCTCAGTTCCGACGTGATGTTAAGAACAAGAACCCGCCTTGGTGGTGCAATGAACGGAACCCCAAAACGTGGCAGCTGCAAGATGAGAACTTACGAAGGGATGAGGGCAGCTGGGTGAGGGGCTATGCTCGCGGGTGACCTGTGACCCCACCGGCAGTTTCAGATCAGCGGGAGGGGCTGCCCCTTTCAAATAATACTGGTGCGGAGGGGGGGGAGGGGTTTATAGCTTTGTTCAACACGGCGCCCCCCTCGTCGCGTGAGCTAGACGCGTGCACATGATACTGCGCGCGGTGCGAACCCACGCTGCGTGCCTGCTGTGTGCATGCACGGGAACCCCTTGAGATTGAAGGAGCTCAATCAACTGGCAAAGATCAGTCAAAGAGGTGTCATTATTGATCGACACTTCGAGGCCATCAAAGAACATGTCATTGCTGGTAACTGCCTCAAGAGGGCAGACTTGGAGGCCATGGAGGTGACGTGGGAGCTGAAAACTAGTGGCGTCTTGGGGCCGGAAGAGTGGACCAACCAGATTGATGGGCAAATCCGGAGTATCATCAGCAGTGCTCGCCCATCGTTGTCGTCACAGCAACGTGCTGGCGCACGAGGTGCACCGTCTACATCACAGAGACGGCCACAACCTCCAGCAGCAGCGGCAGCGGGCCGCCGGACTGCTGTGGATCGGGGGAAGAAAAGCAAAAAGGTGAGCCGCCCAAGGCACCTTGGGCGGCAACATCATCGACGCATTCGCTGTCGGCAGCGGGACGGCGGTGAGTTGTCCTTCTGACAAAGTACGAACTCTGTAGACTTCATCTGTACATGCGGAGTGGTACATCTGCACATGCGGAGTGGTACGGCAGTGTCGAGAGATTTTGGAAAATGAAAACAAAGTCTTGTTTCTAGAAAATACTTCAGTACAGTACACGAGAATGTTATTATGTATATATGGGGTTTTGGTTGGTATATATATATATTTTTTTTTTGCTATTTAGTCTACTTGGATTTGTATGAATGAATTAATTTTGTACTTTTGGCAGACGATATCTTGTTTTTAGAAAACACAGTACACGTACCATTTCCTCGTCTCACCCCTCCCAACGCTCTGGTGATTGCTGCAGTTTTTTTTTCGTTTGATCTCTGCAACCCGTTCGCCCACGATTTAGAGTACAGGGCAGCAACCTCATGATTGAATATGCACGTTGTTCTGTAGCGCACCCCAGAGCCTTGTTCGTACTAACAACAACAATGCCAATGCTGTTGTCCTCCCCACGTCTGGGTTGGTACTCATGAACACGGGCCCTAACCCGTCTTGCATTAACCCTCGCTGTGGTGATCGAAAATTCGAACCAAGCTTGCCCTACACCACGTCCGAATGCCAGCAGTGTCTTAGCTCTTTTCAAGGTCGACCGCGCCACATCAACAGCACTTTGATGACGTACGCCACTAATAACTCTCGCTGAAGAAGAAGACCTATCTGAACGACAATTCTGCTCTCCTTTCACCGTGCCGAACAGATTGTGCGGGCTCGCGGTGGTGTCGAAGAGCTTGTGTCCAGTGTCAGCTTCCCATCGCTGGCCCCGGAACCCCGCGTGCCTTGCCAACACTGCCACATGACCTTCGTGAATCTGCAAGGCCTCGGTATCCACGTGGAAACCATGCACGGCAGTGCAAACATGTTAGACGGCGCGCGGCTGCAGCGAATGTTGGGAAAGAACACGAAAGGGGATGTCCTGCCCTGGGAACGCGCCGGGCCTGGGCGTTGTTGACACGTGAAGATCGATAAGACCACGGGGGCGACTTCGTTCGTCCTCCAGCGGAAGCACCTCCCCCACATTAACTTGGAAAGCGACGGCTTCACCGCCGTCAAATCCAAGGAGACTCGTGGCGCTGCTAAGCGCACGCGGTACGACTTGAGGTTCAAAGCCCACGTGGTCAACCAACTGCGAATCCTTCAGGAAGACCCCATAGCCCTAAACGAGGCCGAACATCTCACCCCCCAGCAGTACCTGGAAACGTACAGGAAGATCGACCACAGTCTTACCAGCAAGTGGGCCAAGGACGAGGACAAAATCGTGAGGTGTGCGGCACAACACGTTACGAAGACGCTACTCGCGAGACTCCAGCCAAAACGGTGGTTTCCTCAGGCAGAGGAGGAAACTCTGCAAGCATTTCTTGGGCCGTCGCAAGAGAAACCTGAAGGTGTCGACCCCTTGGCTTACCATCACGTACCGCAAGCTGCTGCAGGAGATGTACCCTACCCACGACCGGGCGGCAGCGTTTCGCCGGTCCTTCAGGTGGATGCGAAAGTGGGCCAAGGGACACGGCCTTCCACACCGGCGCCGGAGCAACTTGAAGACCAAGTCTGTCGAGGAACGCCTGCCGGAGATCCGGCAGTGCACCATGCAAGTCATCTTTGGGCCGGGAAAGAGTCTCATGCGCATTTCTGTCCTTTTCCGAGGCACGGGGAAGCGGATCTCGCCGGTGGAGAAGGCCGCGTACCACAAGAACGTGGACTTGTTTTTTTTTTTCCAGCAGAACGCGCGGGCGAACCAGAACTTCTGCATGGAGTGGGCCAGGAAGTCCTACCGCTCGAGCTTGATGCGCGGGAGGAGTCAGCTCCCGCGTGAAAGGACGCTTCTTCTCTTGGACAACTTGCACGCGCAGACGACGGATGAGTCTAAGGAATATGTGTCGAAGGAATGCAACACGCTCGCCTGGTATTTTCCGGCCAACACCACGGGCGAGCTACAGCCCGTGGGTGCAGGAGCCGGACGCATGCTGAACGTCGAGGTTGGGAAGCAAGTGGACATTTGGCTCGAGCAGCCGGACAACATCGAAAAGTGGGAAAGCAGCGCGTTGACGGCGTCTGACCGGCGTGTGCTGATCACGTAATGGGTTGGGCCAGCCATGGCAATTCTCGACAGCCGCGAGGAATACTGGTTTCGCCTTTTCGAAAAGTGTGGCATGGCGATGACAGTGGACGGTTCGGGCAATGAAAGAATCACGTTGGAGGATTTGGACAAGCCGTACACCTTCATGCGCGATGAGGACTCCAGCGACGACGAGGAACCTTCAGAGGCTGGCAACGAAGGGAACGAGCGGGGGGGGGTGACCAGAGGGATCGGAGGGAGGGGGGCGACAGCGGGGAGGGCATGGAGGACGGCGATTCCACCGACAAAGATGATGATGGCAAGTTGGATGTTGTGTCTTGCACCCCTCAGCCTTGTTGTTGTTGTTGTTGTTGTTGCTGTTGCTGCTGCTGCTGCTGCTGCTGCTGCTGCTGCTGCTGCTGCTGCTGCTGCTGTTGTTGTTGTTGTTTCCATGGATAAAGCAGTAGTGTGTAGCGATGAAAAGCAGTTTTAAAACGACGGTTGCACTTCTTGCTGCGATGCGCATTGCCCCTCTTTGCAGATACAACCCGCGGCCAGGTTGACGAGCTGAGCGTTGTGGACGAAGATGACAGTATGGGCCCGGACGATGAGATTCGAGGCATGGAGATCCCTAACGGTTTTCGCGTTCAAGCGTCTAAACCTGCTGCTCTTGACAGTTCGTTGCTGCAGCGTGGAGTACTCGTTAAGCTGAGCATGGGATGGTTTGGTGGGCTGATCACTCGGCAGTCTTAGGAGCGTACCCGCCACCTCTATGACTACCGTTTGCATCTCGAGCTAGACCAACGTACGCGCAGCATGAAGCTGCCGTTGGGCAAGTACAGTGGGGATCCGGATGCGCAGTGGGGATCCGGATGCGTTGGTAGGGTCGTGGACTTTGCTTGAGGGTAGCAACGTAGAGCAGGGAGGAGGTCCGGCCATCGAACAACACGGCGTTGGTAGAGCGATAGGCGTTAGTAGAGCGGGCAGGACAATCACGCCGAACGTGACCCTTGTGGACCACTAAACGGTTCGATGTTGCCCATGATGCGTCATTTTTTTTGGCGATACTGTAACGCGTCTGTATTTCTACCCTACCTACGATGGTGATCGCGGAAGCTAGGTGCGTTGGATCCAGAGGTGACGTTTGAACGAAGGCTTTTTATGAAACACGCTGCTCTCAGTAGGTTGAATCAATCCACCGAGAATAAAACCGGTGTCCTCTGTTTGGGGCCCTCGGTGTAGAAATAAGTACAAGAACCCCGTTTATCATATTGGTGACGCCTGCTCGAAATACTTGAAGTAAGAACTTTGAAAATATGGACAGGTTTTCAACTTGAGGCAGCCAAAAAGCATCGAGCCTCGGCCAACATAAGCGGTTAAGTGCGGGCGCCATCTGCACACTATTTTCCACTTGAACTCACATGTGCAATCCCTGTCCCCCCCCCCCTGCCCCGGGTCGTGTGCATTTGTCACGCATACATGCGCGTGGTGTGTACCTCTTAAAAAAAAATCTTGATCGCAGGTTGCCAAGGCACTTGCACCCGCCCGAGTCATCCGCAAGGTGCAGCTGAGCACCAACGAGATCGGAACCTCAGGGGCCCTGGCTGTGGCACGAAGCTTGCGGGACAAGAAAGACTTGGAGGTGAGGGGCCTTTTTCTGGACACGATTTTCGTTGTAGCTGTGGACGATGGCGGAGAAAAGAGGCGCGCACCGGTCGCGTCGTAGACTCCCCCTCGAGGTTTGTGCGAAGGTTTTTTATCTCCGGTCAAAGGAAGAACCCTTGGCACATTTGTGGTTTTTGAGACTTGGGTTGTCTTTGGTTGGGGTTTGCGTGTGCAGCGAGGGGCCCTCTCCAGTCCTCTCGACCTCGCTAACCGAAAAAAATCGACACATCTGGCATCAACCAACCCAAATCGACGTTCGCTCGATTGGTCACGTCACGTCTACCAGAGCTTGGAGCTGAACGGGAACATGATCAGCCCCGAAGGATTGACGCGGCTCAACAGGATCCTTGAGTCTGCGGAAAAAGTGAGTGAGGATTGATCCAGCCGCCTCCCCTCCCGTCATTTTTTTTTCTCCGTGCTTTTGGCAGACACGGGTGTTTTACTCTGCGTGTTGTGGTGGTCGTTTACACCCATCGCACGTCAACCGCGTTTCACTTGTACCCCAGACCCTACCAGGTGCTCGTGTGTGTGTGTTAGTTGTTTTTTTTATTTTTCGCCTGTCTGCGTGACACCGGTCTGTCTCTGCCTGTCTCTGAAACCTTCACACGCCAGCTACGGTGCATCCTACATCTATTAACATTTTTTTTTACCTTAACCTTACCCTTCCCGTGTTGCCGCCCCCGAACCCTCGCATGCCACAGCTCGATGCGCTCGGCGAGATGGACGACAACGATGAAGACGGTGACGACGACGAGGAGGAGGAGGAGGAGGAGGAGGAAGAGGAGGAGGAGGAAGAGGAAGGGGAAGACATGGGCGGGCAGACCGCTGCGGCGGAGACTGCTCCGAAAGACGATGCCGAGATAGACGAGCTCGCAGCCGCTCTAGGGGCTGTCACCGTTTGATTGGGCTTTCGATATCAGCTCTGGCGTGGACAAGGGAAGGGGGTGTCACGGCATCTATGTAGAATGCGCTTACTGCTGTTGAGCCAATCTCCCTCCATCTCTCGATTCTTCGACCTTTTGACCGCACGTCCACCCACTGACTGTTTTGATGCGTTCGCTTCAGTCCGCTTGGTTTTTGTTCTCTTTCGTGTGTTGTATGATATATATTTTCTGTAGTAGAATGAGAGCATACACGTTCAGAGCACTTTCGTGATATTGCTGTACCTGTGTTGATCCCCTCTCGTGGATTCTTTTGGGTGTGCTGTAGTGCGCCAGACAGACGCCCGCCGTTGGATTCAGCGAACTCCGGGTTCTGGTGGCTATTACATTTTGTCTGTGTTTGCTTTCGGATGCTGTGTTTGCTCGGGCTTGTGCTGTGCTTTCCCGTTTTGTGTGAAAAGAAGATGAGAAGGAGGTAGTGTTTTTTTCCGACACACTTGTTTCTACGTTTTGGTGTGGATGCGCACGTCGTTTGCCGCCTAGTGTTCGGTGGAGGTACCATTTCCTCATACACTACGTTTGACACGTTTTGAGTCATGCCGATTTGCGGGTTGTCATCACGACTAATGGCAGCAGGCCGCTTGAGGACGCCCAAAAAAAATCGATTTACGTCGGCATGGCACGGCCGTGGAAGAAGCAGTACACGCAGAAAGTCATGTGCTCTCACTCGTGAACCCATCCTCTGCTACTGCTGTGTATGTTGTCCCGAAGCGTTTTTTACGGTTGAGAGAGGTGGGTTCGGCGGTTTGGTTTGGACAAGAAGAACAAAGCTTGTTACTTATGGAGCAATGCTACGGTAGGGGGAACACTCTTTAAGACATGGGTCACATGCTGTCGCCCGACAAGGTCCATATATATGCTCGTAACTCTCTCAATTTTTGCATTTCAAGGAAATCAATTCTGCCCAGGCAGCCGCCTGGCGTATATCTCGCGGTGTGCAAAACAACAAGCATTTTTCCATTGGTTGAGGCAGTACACACCAGTCCGCCAAATCACTCCATGTGACCGAGGGGGTACCCCCTATCGTAGCATCCCTCTATGAAGATGTAGGCATTCGACAGAATCTCTTCTCGCACAACAGCAGTAGCAATATTTCACTAGCTTTGTGGTGTTTTCATGTTAGAGATGGACCTGAACCACCTGTACGTCTTCTCGTCTTCCGCTCATTCTTCGAGGCAAAGGAACGTTGCTGTGTGGTCGAATTGGTCGATTTGGATGTTTATTCACCCGAAACAAGGTCCAAAACTTTCAAAATGAAAACCGATGAAATACTCAGATTGGACAAAGTCCCCCACACCCGCCGCGAAGGTACGCACGGCTCAAGGTCTGTGGATACACATGTTTAGGCATCGTTTTCGCCCACTCCGTCCAGATGAACGTGCCGCGTGCTGACGTGTGGTGGATGGAACATCGATGTTGTGCCAGGCGAGTCGGGGGAGCGAGCAGAATGAACGGTGCCCAGTTGAACAACGTCAACTCAACCGCTTGTGTTCGTAACCGCTCGTGTTGGGCGTCCACATTCTAGATTACACCACAAAGGCAGCGTAAGCTGGACACACAAGAGTCCCTATGCTTCGCTTTGATGTCATATCGATTGGCGAATAGAAATAGTCCTGTCGCCGCTGGGTGTTTTCTGTCCTGTCCAGGCAGGGGTATTCTCCTCTACTTCATACGCCATTTATTTCTGGTCACTCCGACGGTGTCAAGGTTTTCTCTGCAAGCCTGCCCTTGCTCAAGCTGCGTTCCCTTCACGCACACCAAAGAGATGTGCCATCATCACCCAACCACAAGGCATGCGACGTGGGCGGGCGAAAACGTACAGCACGTTTTGTTGGCTTGGTCATGTCACCTTACTTTACTGTGATCACATCATCTTCGAAGACCTTGGCATCGAAAAACGCGTTTTGTGCACATATGAACCATGCATGCTTGGACGACAATGACGTGTAAGCACCTTTTTTGAAGCCGGCCTGAAGAAAAGCCTGCAGTGCCGAAAGAGATGTGTTCCAACCATTTTGTTGCAACAGTCTCATGTGTGAGTCACGCCAGCTATGACATCATAACTACTCCTTCATGCCGAATAAAGGATACGCGTTAACTGGAAAAAATAGGGCATCGAGATGGATGAAGCACGTGATGACGTGCTCTTGTCAACACAATAAACACCACATGGCTCTTCTCAACACATACGAAGCGGGGATGCATAAAGTGCATCGCGGGGTTTTGAGATAAATGCTTTCTTCTCTTCGTGTTTCATTCACAACGTGGCTTTGACGACTCAAGGTAACGCGTACTCGACGGAAAACCCCGAAAAAGTACAATACAATACCATACTGTTAGTAAAACCGTGTTTAACGAAATGTCGCCGCCGGCGCCACCCCGCAGTCTGGCTTCACTCGAACAGGAACATCACACACGCAAGGGCTGCTGCTGCTGCTGCTGTAGGTTCCCCCCGCCTATTGAAGCGGCAGCGGACAAATAACATGACCGAAAGAGCGAAACAGCTAGCGCGTTTCGATAAGCGCGAGGGATTTCATCCACAAAAACACAACTCGAATGAGAAAACACGCAAATTACTGAAAAAACAAAGCGAACCACCACCTACCCACTCCGAAATTCTTCTTGGACCCATGTCGTTTCTACCACCACCTAGAAGTACCAACTTATATATTATTTCACCAACACGATCAGTCTCAGCGCACGCACCAGGGCTGCACGCAACATGTACCTTACAGGTGGCGTCAAACAGCGCCACGCGAAAGCTCAGCCGGGCCATTATACAGCCGATGACATCGATCCCCGTTCCAACGTGTCAGCCCGTGCAGACCCAACGCTCCCTGGTGTTTTCTCGTCTCCTCGACACTGCTGTGAACCAAGCAGGCCAAGAACAAAAGACCACATCAACGACCTCAAATGTAGCACTCGCTCACTCGCTCGTCCAAATAGATTCGCCCCGGGAACAAAAAAAAAAAAACACTACGCAAGGTCTTCCCCCCCCCACCAGACCGAGAAGGACATATTACGAGGCCCAAGCAACGGAATGAACAAGCCTCTACCTTCTCCGTTCTGTCGTCTCTATGCTGAAAACAAAATAATATAAGTCTGCGAGAGAGGCGCGGCCGATCCATCGTACATGCGGCGATGACAGAAGAAAGAGCGATTACTCCGACATCTGCTCCTTCTCCAGCCTAGCCGACGAGACACTTTGGTGTCCTACAGGTTAAACGTCAAGCCCATCGAAAGAGAAGGCAACGCCTGCTTCGCTCTTTTCTCGTTCGGATAGCACGAACGCCGCGAACTCCGTAAAAAATATATAGCGATATGATGAATCCATTGACATTTTCCAGCCCGGACTCTCCCTTTTGTTCTACGGACACAGAAGGCGAACATCTTTGCGAAAAAAAAAAATGAAACGACGAGGACGCGGACCTACGATCTTGATGTTGGCTGCGATCTCTAGACTTCCTTCGAAGCGATCTCTGCCTTCATCGAACTGATGAACCCTTTTCCGCCCTTGCTTATATTTGCAACAAACGAGCACGCACCTCACCGTTGTGTACTACCACACACAAAAACTCAACAAACAGATAGGTACCAACATTTTCTTGGCGAAACATCGCTCTGAGAAGCAAAGCAGAAGAAGCTCTTCTTCCGTTTTCCAAAAATGCAGAACAACGTGCTCAATGTCAACAGCCCGCCCACAGACAGGCCCTGAAGTCGGCGCGCATACGGACGAGGCCAATCACTGCTGTCCCTCTTTATGCTCGCGTGGGCGACTTACGAACCACCCTCCTTTCATCGACCAGACGCCGCGCAAGGACACAGCCGTCGCGTGACCTCGTGGGAAGCCGAACATGTCGAATGCCGTGGGTTCGACGAGATTAGGCACTGCCCCGGGAGCTGCGAGGTCAGTTCGTCAGTTGTTCAACCCGCGAGGGGGAGAAAAAAACGCGAGCAAGAGAGAGCAGCGGATGTTCGAAAACACGGGGCGGGGGGGGG